TACTGGGGATTGCACCCAGGACCATCGCAGAACTACATCCCCAGCCCCTTTTGATTTTTCTTCCAAGACAGGTTTTCAATAAATGGCTAAATTGCTCAGACCGGGTTCAAACTTGCAATTCTCCTGCCTCAGCCTCCTAAAGTGTTAGGATTACAGGTGTGCACCACCACATCTGACATTCGGACTCATTATGTCATGTAGAACCCATTTCCTCCCCTTCACATTGGAGAAATGGACATCTCAAAAGGTAGTGGAAGACGGGCTGGGGATTTAGCTCAATGGTTTCGCCGCCTGCTGCGCAAGCACAAGGACCCAAGTTCAATCCCCGGTACCAAAAAAAAAAAAGGTAGTGGGAGGGCTGGGGATTTAGCTTAGTGGTTCCACCACATGCCTTGAAAGCGCAAGGTCCCGAGTTTGATCCCCAGTACCAAAAAAAAAAAAAGGTAGTGGGAAAACCATTATCCATCCCCTGAACATTTACCATGTGACAGGCATTGAACTTGGCCTCTTTCATGTAACATTTCTTTTTTGTTTTAAGACAGGGTCTTGCTATGTTTTCCAGGCTGGTCTTGAACTCACTCTGTAGCCCAGGCTGGCTTCAAACTCATGATCCTCCTGCCTCAGTCTCCTGAGTGCTGGGATTATAGGCATGTATCACCATCCCTGGCAACATCTCATTTAATCTCCGAAAAACCCTAGCATAGGCTGTATTCCCCTTGTATAATAAGGAACTGAGGCTTTTGAGAGGTCACTTAACACACACAAGGGCACACAGATGGAAGCCCCTTGTCTGACTCCAGATCTTTTTAAATTTTTCCGTAAGAAGTAGCTGCATTGGTGAGTCAGGGATTTAGCTCAGTGGTGCTGCCCCCTGCCTCAAAAGCACAAGGTCCCGAGATCAATCCTCTGTACCAAAAAAAACCAAAACCAAAAACAAAAGAAAGTAATGGCCATATAGCTAAATGGATGCACATTGAGGCCATACTCTTTTTTTTTTTTTTGGCACTGGGGATCAAACTCAGGACCTTGCGCTTTCGAGGCAGGTGCCAGAACCACCAAGAGGCCATACTCTTAAGTGAAATAAATAGGACACACATGTATAAATACCGAATAGTTTCTCTGGTGTGAGAAACTGAAAGTGTAAATAAGGATTAAAATCTATCATTGATGGGCCGGGGATTTAGCTCAGTGGTTTCACTGCCTGCTGAGCAAGCACAAGGATCAGAGTTTGATCCCAGGTACCAAAAAAAGAAAAAAAGTATAATAGATAATGTGAAACAGGAAGAAAAGGTCTAAAGGGGAAGGGCAAGTGGGAAGAGTAGGGGAAAGGAAAGAAGGGAAAGGAAAAAATATGAGAAAAGGAAAAATGGAAACAAAGTCTTTGTAAATAGGGAGGGGTGGAGGGGTTAAAGGGAAGGCAGGGGAATGGGGAAAAAATAAGAAGCAAGATATATCATGTAAAGGTACAAGTTCCCAATGATGAATGTCATCATATTGTACACCTAAAATGTACCAATAAACTTAATGAATAAAAAAGAAAAAGTAGTGGCCCTCTGTGAATTCATTCCCTAACACTGCAAGAAAAAAAAAAAGGCAGGAACTGGTTCTTGTTCAGTGGTCCTCAGTACTCTACCACATCCCTGGTTGGGAAGATCTCGGAGAGCACTCCTGGAGGAAGTGAGCTGGAGGGATGGAAGGGGCTGGGCCAGGGGACCGGTTCACACACAGACATACACAGGAGGCTGGTTCAGGGGGAGCAGAGGCAGCTGCCTTTAATGGGGGCCATGGGCTGGCTGGCTTCACTCAAAGGCCACGCACTTGATCTTGAAGTCGCCATCAGCTGCCAAGTAGTTGATGGCCTCCAGGTTGAGACGGTTGGGGAACTTGAATTCGTGTCCATCCGGCAGCTTGATGGTCAGGTCGGTCTGGTCAAAGGAGACGCAGATCTGGGGGGTGGAGAGGACAGTGAGCCGGGGCCCTTCCTCATGGGGCCCTGGCAGCACCCGGGGTCAGGGGCGGTTCGGACAGGGGGGGACACTCACGTGATCACACCCTGAGGGGTAGGGGGTGGTGGGGAAGTCTCCAGCAAGGAAACGTAGCTCCACCACTGACGGCCATGCCATCCCGGGCCCGCCCACCTCCACTCCCAGTCCCCAGTGCCCCGCGCCCCGCGCCCCGCGCCCCGCCCACCTCCGCCACGCTCCCGGGCTGGAAGGGGAAGGCAGGCTCCCGATGCTCCGCCCCCCAGGCCCCGCCGTCCTTGCTGTTGCAAACGATGGTGTTGGTATCCCCGTGCGCGTTGAAACGAGGGTTGAAGTGCAGGCACAGGTGGTTGTTGTCTTTGCCCAGGTTCAGCACGAAACTAGGAGGGACAGGAGGGCTTGAAGCCGTTTCAGCCAGCTCCAGCCCCCAGCGGACCTGTCTGCCACGCAGGACACCGTGCGTGGAGTGGACCTTGCAGAGACACTCATTAACAGGTGACCAGAAGCCTGGATTCTAGTTCCAGCCCTGCCACCTCCTTGCTGTGTGACCTGAGCTAGTCCCTGACCCTCTCTGGGCCTCAGTTTCCCCACCTGTACAATGAGGGCTGCATAGGAAGGATGTTGAAGGGTCTTGTGTCGTAGATATTAGTTTGTGTCCTAGCCCCTTTGATCAAAGTCAGGGACTCCCTCCAGATGGTGACCTCTGTAAGTATAAGTGTTCTGTCTGGCTTGTTTTGTTTTGTTTTTTGAGACCAGATCTTGCTATGTGTTTCAGTCTGACCTTGAATCACTATGTAGCCCAGGTTGGCCTTGAACTTGAGACGTTCTTGAGATGAACTTGAGGCATCCTCCTGCCTCAGCCTACTGAGTGCTGGGATTACAGGCGTGTGCCAGTATGCCTGGCTGTGTCCTGTCCTGTACATTTCTGAATCCCTGGTGCCCAGACGGACACGCAGTAGTGGCTTAGTCATCGTGGGACAAATGAATGCAAAATAATATTAAATTTGTGGAGCGGAGCTTTTAGCAATGGCTACCTCAGAGGGTTTGTAAGAAAATGAGAGTAATGGTAATGACCCTTTGGTAATGACTCGCGGATCATCATCATCCTCATGACCCAACCACCTCTCACTTCCTCCGTATAACAACTCCGCTTATTAAGAAACTGAAGCTCGGTGAAGTTGGCTGACTCATCTAAGGTCACATGGCGGCCAGCTGAATGAATGATGAACAGGAGCGGACTGGGATTTCACGGGGAGGCCAGGGCCACGCCCCTCTCTCGCCCTCTCCCCCACCCCAGATTTGGCCCCGCCCCCAGCCGGAAGGGGCGGGCCAGGCCAAGGTGGACAGCTGGCCCCAGCTGGTTCAGTTTAAGAAGCTCCAGCAGGGATGGAGGGGGTGACAATGGTGGGGGCGCCAGGGCCAGCGCAGGAAGTGACTCACCCAGAAAACGCAGCAACGGCAGCTGGCCATTAACCCCCTTCCCCGCGGCGAGGGGCGGGTTTGACGGTCAAGCGCTCTCCAGCCCTCCACCCCGCCCCGAGCCCCACCCCTGCCACACGGCCCTCACCTCTTGGCGTCGGGGGCCACCTCGCCCCGCACTCGGAGGCACTCCCCAGGCTTGAGGTTCAGGTTGCTGGCGACCAGACCCTGTGCAGACGAGACCCGCCCGCCCAGCTGGGTTAGGAGGACGTGGCCACCTCGGCCTGAGGTGTCCTGGGGTGGTTTGAACCCTGGCTCCTCAGACCAGACAGGAGGTGAGCTGGGGACAGGACTGGGTGAAAGATCTATCCTTTGATTATCCCGGCGGCCCTGGGAAAGTTCCTGTTCCCAGCAGGGTCTGTTTCAGTGTGAAACAGGAGCGCTGTTCTAGGAGTCCAGCTCCAGTCCAGGACTGTTTGCCCATCCCCTTGGGGATTCAGACTCGGAATGGCTTGGGAGGCGGGGTGCAGTGCACCATGGCCGCCTATTGCTG